ATGAACAAGCAGGCACGTGGCTATTCCTCCAAAACAGTGGAGTGAGGAAGTAGTAGCAAGGCAATACAGAACAAATCCTCTAAGATGTCCAAGGCTAGCTCCTTTTTCCTGGGAGAATCCATTTCTTTGCAATGGTATCAACAGCTGTACATCCTTTGGGAGCCTTGAGGAAATGACAGCCTCCTATGTTGCCTTATCAAATTATTTCCATCAAGTTCTGTATTCTTTGACATTTAAAACATTCTGCTTCCCCTCGCTGCATCTGTTGGCCACATATTTATATTAATTTCATCTCATAACTTATGACAGTAAAATACTACTACCTACAAAGTGTGCTACTGAAATTAAGGGCAGTTCTCAGTTATAATGTGGTCCATATCATACACAATACAGTTATATACATATTAAGAAGATTATCATTAGGCCGGGCTTGACGGCTCACGCCCATAATCCCAGCATTTTGGGAGGCTGAGGTGGGAGGATTGCTTGAGGTCAGGAGTTCAAGAGCAGCCTGAGCAAGAGCGAGACCCATCTCTACAAAAAAGTAGAAATAGGCAGGTGTGGTGGCATGTGCCTGTAGTTCCAGCTACTTGGGAGGCTGAGGCAGAAGGAGCGCTTGAGCCCAGGAGTTTGAGGCTGTAGTAAGCTTTGATGAGACTACCACACTCTAGCCTGGGCAACAGAGTAAGACTCTGTCTCAAAAAAGAAAAAAAAAGATTATCATTAAAATAAAAACACAAAAAACTTTAATTCCTAAAAAGAACTCTTGAAACCCTGAGAATGCATCAGATTCTGTCTGACCTCAATTGAAACTCACTGTGTTGGAAGGAAAAGTGATTGTCAGAATATGTGTGAAGGGGGAACCAGGCGATTTGACTTCTCACCTCGGTTAGCTAATACTTTCACATTTCCATGGAGATGTCCAAAAAGGAAAAACAAATCAATGCGTCAAACAATGTTTATAATAACCCTCTTCATAACTATAAAACGTTGACAAAACCCTACCTCCCTATTACATAACAAAACTGTATGGATATACTATGGACAATATACAAAAAAGACATAGGAAATGATGGCAAATGAAAAAAATCAAGACAAAAATGAAATATTTATGAATTTTAATTTTAAAAAAATTTTAAATTGATGGAGTTTCTTTCTGCAAAGTTGTCTGGATGACAGAACAGCAAAAATTTAAAAAGTAACAATAAATTGAGCATTGAAGGACAGTTTACACTGAGAAGTGGGTTAGTCATCAAAAGATTACCCAAAAAAAGACCCTGAAATAAGT